GGTTTTGTTGTTGGCAACAATTCCGTCGCCCCTCGTCCGTTCATTGACGTTTCAGGCGCAATTGAACGTACCAGCGCGGTCGCGTCAAAAGTATTAGATTATTAGGAAAGTTCATTTTTTAGCTAAAATTTGTGATACAAAGTTGTATACAACATCTTTTTGTAAAAAATTAATAAATTTATATTAAAAAAAAAAAAAAGAATTTTAAAACTTGAAATTTCTACTTTCGAAAGGTTACTATACTTTTTTGAGTTTCTGTGAGTTTGATAATTTTTACATAAAAAAAATACAAGCTGAAAAAAATAAAAATTTGTTCTTTCACTTTGCGGGTCTTTCACGTACTCAAAAAAATTTCCGAAAATTTTCAACTACCTATCATGAAAGCTTGAAACTTTCCTTACAAAATCGTTTTTTAAATATTCCTACAACTTTTTGCTCCTGAGTTATTCATGAGTTAAGTAAAGGAATATTTTGATTTTAATTGTTCATAATTCCGTTAAAAATCGTACCGCATTAAGAAATCAGGTTCTTAAAACTGAATTTTTACTCTATCAAATGCTATAATCGCCAATTTTTTAAATGTATAATATTTTTTTAATGTATACTATTTCGAGTTAGAAAATTTGAAACGAACTTTTCGAACAACCTAATATATCGGCTTTGATGAAAGATCGTATCTCTTAGAACGATTAAACATATTTAAACGGCATCAGATTATCTCAAGCGAGGCAACGATGATCCAAGCTCAAATTGTGATCGAAAAAATTGACCGGATCTCTCCAGCTCCGCAATACAATTTCCCCGACGCACGTCTGTAATTTCCGACTCCCAAACTCTCGTCTGACGAAGTTCACCTGAAATGAAATTTTGGAAAAGCAATTGTTCTCTTAATTTGTTACCAACGCAAAACTCATGAGTGAATGAGTGAGTGAGTGAGTGTGTGTGTGTGAGAGAGAGAGAGAGAGAGAGAGAGAGAGAGAGAGAGAGAGAGAGACTCATATATCCATTTCCACCAACGTAGATTAACTTTAATATCGGTTCAATTTGCTTCTCGTCTTTTCCTAGTTCTAAACATTAGAAGATGATCAGTAAATTAAACCGAGATTAAAGTTAATCTACATTGGTGGAAACGGATATTAGTTGGAGCACCGGCCTTGGTGCGCGTCATCGCATCGCTGCCGCTCACGTACGCTGTCCTTTCAGTCGGGACTAATCGGAACACCCGGTAGATATATGCACGATATCCCTGTAACCGATCTGCAACCATCGACGCTCGATGCGCCCGTCCTGGTCTATATGACGCCTCTCACGTAATCCGCGCTTTCACGTAATCCAGTTACATGTTACACTACCACCTGTGTATCGCGTGTAGTGTGGCTTGGCGGGCTTGGCGTGAAAAGCACAACGCAATCAAACTCGTCCCCAGTCTGTGTATACCCTGTTAAAATGTGTAGTGTCAAATTGACTCACTAACGTGACGTCACGACTGCACCTACTCAATTATATCGTTATTTTATATGCTATCAGATTCGACACTGTACGGTGTCAAATGTGATTATCGTTTTAATGTCAAGTTAAATTTGACGCTGTAAATTTAACAATGTATCATTCGTATAAACGAGTGTTCGTGAACAATTTAAGATGCATCGCAATTGAAACATCGCTAGAAAGAGTCTGTGCGAGGAAGATGCACGGCATACACGGTGAAATTTCAAGCTCGCTCTCCAGACAGATCGATGCATCCTGCACCCCGACCCGACGACGCCGACGTATGCCGCGCCGCGCCGCGCCGGCTTGGCCCGGTCACAATAGTTCTCGCACCCTACTGCATTCGTTTCAACGGTTTCCCCTCACAATGAAATGCAGCCGTCCGGAATCGCAATTCTATTCGGAGGTGAGGACTTCGCGGCAAGGGTCGGAAAGAATCGAGACGTCGTCGGGTTGCGAAACGAAATGTGTGCTCGGCGTTCCAAGATGGAACTGTCTGTTTGTCGATATAGAAGTCTCTGTGGTTATAAGACACAAGACGATATCGTCCAAAGTTTACGTTCAACTCTTCAACGAACAAAACGTATGAATATGAATTGTGGCGAATCGCATGATTAGACGTGCATATCGGCGCACTTTCTTTCTCTCTCTTTCTCTCTCTCTCTCAACTTTGTCTTCCGACAAAATACTCAGCATTATTTCGCCTGTAAGTATAAAATTTCGGTCTATTATCTGGTATTATGATCTGGCGTCACAACAAAAACACCTGCCTTTGAATATCATGTCAAAAATTCTCGTTTGCGGATCGTGAGTATCAAGGTGAATCGTCGCGGGCGGCGTTAACGCGCGTTCGATCGAGCTCACCGCTCCGATGCCGCCGCCGGTGATCACTGACGACACATCGGCAAGTAGCACACTTACCTGCGAGAGCAGCAGCCTCCACCGTGTACGACGCACCAGCAGCGTGAGGAAGCGTGGAACGCGCGGCGAACAATGACACGGGCGACCGACGTCAGGGGGGCGGGAGGGAAAACAGGGCTTGGTTCGCGCCGATCCTCCTTCCTCGAAGCGGAGCCGAAGCGAGAGACGAGCGGACACCAGCTGCGCCGTAGCGTAGCGTAACGTAACGTAACGCCCGTAGCCGTACAAACTCACTCACTCTCTCTCTCTCTCTCTCTCTGTCCTTCTCTCTCGTAAATTCGACAAGTCCGTTCGAGCGACGGGTGGCCCACTGGCTCGCAACTCTCGGGAACACTCCGACTCTCACGAGACGACGCCGTACGGGACGGGGACCACGGCCCTTGCTATCCGCGCCATTTTCAAACAAGTCCTTCCCGAGAGAGCGCGACAGCGACGGTCGTGAAATTGCGTATCGCGAATAACGCGACGCGGACGCCGCCCCGGACGCGCCGCGACAAATTCCACGTCTCCCACCTCTCGCGTTCTTTTCGCCTGCCTCCTGTATTATTGTTTCACCCGCACGAATGTCGCGAATAATCGCGAGACAGCCACAAGCGGATCTCGCCCAGCAGCGTCGAGTAGCGTTACTGCACTACGTACACCGGATAACCACTCTACGGCACTGCCCCTCGCGACGTCGACGTTTCTAATTTCTACCAATTTCTACGCACCCGCCGTTATGGCCGACTGTGCGACTAGGAAAAGCAGAGTTTCTCTCGTGACGCAATCGAATAAGCACACCCCGTTTCGCCCGCATTTTCTCCGCCAGGTGGCGCCGCGCAATCGACAATGTTGATCGCGGATTGCGTTTTATCCGAGGAGCTGGACAAGACAGCGGCCGATCGTATCGACGGTCGGTAAATGCTCGAGCGACAGAAAAACGAAAAACGGCAATTTGTCAAAAATCTCTCATCGTATCGAGGATGTTTAAAAAAGCGCATTTTAAAAATGAATTCTATCTATTCATATCGATCGATACTTCAAAAAACGATCTTACTGATAATCTATGAAGTTACATATAAATAAATATAAATGAAGATACAACAGATCGTAAAACTTGTTGCGAAATTTGCGAAGTTCCACGGCGCGAATTAAAAATTGCACATAAATATAAAAATAAGGAGATGCTCGAGTTACCGACGGAATGTTCATTTCGTATTTTTCCAACCATTTCGTTTTTCCTTATGGAGCATAAAAAATCCTTCTCTAGAATAAAGGAAAAAACATAAATATCTTTAGGAAAGTATACAAACCTCTATAAAAATTCCAAAAAATTGTATATTACAGTTTTCTGTTATAACACACAGATTATTCTTAAATAACGCCAAAGATGAAGAGAAGAGGCGAGGAGATGTCGAAGGAAGTGGAGCAGAAGGATCGTTTACGATTCGACTGGACTCAAGGTGGCGAAAGATCTTGATCCATCTGGATCAATTGGATCTTCCGCGATTTCGCTTGGATCGCTCAAAAGTTTCTCATCGTGCGAATTGGATTTAATCGGACAAAACGAACGTAGGTAGATGAGAGTCACGATCGTCACGAGTGAAAAATTCAATAGAAATCAGCAGATTCTGATGATCCTCGATCGAGTGTCAAACTCCTGGAATTCACTTTCGATTGCGTACGCCAATCGCGACGTGTACCCGACTATGTGTCATCTTTTGTGATAACAGTACTACGTCAACTGTCGCCGTGTCGTCCTGGCATCGCGATAAGGTCAGTTTATTCTCGGTTATCACACGTTGCGAGGTTAGATCTAATTTCAGATTCTGCGAAACGTAGCACGTTTTCTAACAATTCCTGCACGATTAGTCTGTAGGTGTGTATATACACATTAATTTGCTTTTAGTTCTGTTTACTTCTTCACCAGAAAATTAATAATTGATTTTATATTTTGCACATTTAAGATAAAACTTAACTGGATGGTTGCTTACTTCAAATGTAACTGATGATATTAATCTTTACTTATTTTATAACTGTCTCCGGTTGCACCAATGTTACTTTGATTTTAAACAGACTTAAAACTATCTATCTCGTTTTAAAGTTGAAAAAGAGACAGAGATAGAGACAATTTTAAGACTTAAACTCGAAATCACGGTGCAATTGGGCTTAAGATCTGATTTTGAACCGACTTTTATCCCGGATCTACAATAGAGTTTTAAGCCATAAGAAGTGGGCGAATCATAATCGATTATTCTCCTCTCAAATTCGACTGTAATTAGTTAATTTCTTAAGGCTTAAGGCTTAAAACATTGTAGATCCAGAGTTAATGATCGACTTTAAATGAGACTTAACTCTTGCTTTTCTTCTCTCTCTCTCTCTCTCTCTTGTTCTCTCTTTCACTCACTCAAGCCAAGAGAGGGAGAGTTTTAAGTCTTACTTAAAATAACATTGGTGTGTACAATCGGATCTAAGCATAAAGTTTAAAAACTATGTAATTATGTAAAGATAAAATTTTAGACTTTTTATGGACTTAATATAAGGTATTTTTAAAAAAGGTTTAACATATGAAACATGATGCATTTTTACATCATGATATTAGAGATATATGCATGTATAATATATATCAACTAATAAAACAGCATTGTACAATAAATAATGGCAAGTGAATCTTGGAATGTCTTGGTAACGGGAGGCGCTGGTTATATCGGTTCTCATACAGTATTGGAATTGGTACAAGCGGGTCTTCGGGTGGTGGTAATAGACAACCTTATCAATGCACATAAAGGTGAGACGTAACAAGCTACATGACAAAAAATGTTATATTATATATGTATATATTTCAAATTAAATAATAAATGAATAATACGGTAAATCAATCACTATCTATTTTCCACTTAAATCTAACATATTTTCTATTGGTAATACAATAGCACATAAATGTATGCAAATTAATAATTAATTAGAGATTAAACAGTTATTCTGATGAATACTCACTGTTTTGTCATATATTGTATAATTTACACAGGTATAATATAATTTTTAATTTTTCAATCTATTTTTCTTATGTTTACAGACCCAAATTCTAAGAAACCAGAATCTCTTCTTAGAGTGGAAAAATTGACAAGTAAAACTATTGCATTTATCGACTGTGACATCACAAACATTAATGATCTAAGAAGTGTATTTCAGAAAGTAAGTATTTATATTTGTTCAAGTTTTACTGATAGTACTGATTTTAGATTTTTATAGACAAAGAATATTCAGATTTTTGTTTTTACAGCATACTTTTCATTGTGTTATACATTTTGCTGCATTGAAAGCAGTTGGTGAGTCATGTCAGAAACCTCTCGAGTATTACAAAATTAATGTCAGTGGAACGATAAATCTGCTAGAAGTTATGCGGGAAAACAATGTAAAGAGTTTTATTTATTCAAGTAGTGCCACAGTTTATGGTGTACCTAAGCAACTTCCTTTAGTAGAAAACATGAAAACTGGTAATTGTACAAATCCATATGGAAAGACAAAGTTTATGGTGGAAGAAATACTAAAGGATTTATGTATATCAGATAAGGTACATATCATGATATATTATTTTATCATTTGCTTTAATAAACAGTTACTTTTTTCAGGAATTTTCGGTTATATCTTTGAGATATTTTAATCCTGTCGGCGCACATCCCTCAGGTGAAATTGGAGAAGATCCCAACGGCATTCCAAATAATTTAATGCCTTATATTGCACAAGTTTCTGTTGGAAAAAGGGACATGTTATACATTTATGGCAATGACTATGATACTCCTGATGGTACAGGTAAGAGTTTTTATATTTTTGTTGTTGTTAGGAAGTATGAGTAAATAAAATTCCTTTAATTGTAATTAAAATCGTTTTTCTAAATTAAATTTGCAGGTGTACGTGACTATATTCATATTATGGATTTGGCAGTTGGACATATGAAAGCTGTAAAGTATCAAAAAGCTCTTAATCCAACAGGATTTAAGCCGATAAATCTTGGTAGTGGAAAGGGCTATTCTGTGCTTCAAGTTATACATGCGTTTGAAAAAGCATCCGGACAAAAAATACCATATAAAATAGTTGAACGTAGACCAGGTGATGTCTCCACCAGTTATGCGGATGCTAGAATCGCTAATGAGGAACTAGATTGGACTGCTACAAAAAATATAGATGACATGTGTAAGTTATAATAATAAATGAATCATAATGATAGTAATTATCCATATATTTTTTTGTATTTAAACGTTTTAAAATAAACTTATTACATTCTAGGTGCAGATACGTGGAAATGGCAACAAAATAATCCAAACGGTTATAAACTCTAATAAATATTATACCTAGATAACTAAGAGAAGTATTTGGTGAAGCTTTTAGCTTGCTATTACATTTTGCCTTCCACATCATTGGATGGATAATGAAACCATGGTGGTATACAGTTACCAAAGTTTAGACCAAAGCATTAAAAAAGTAATTTTTTATCTTCTGTTAATTAAGCAAATTTAACGTAATGAGAATTTATATATGTAACAAAGTATAATGAAAGATAATAATAATTGACTCGTATGATTTTTAAAAATCAGTAGAACGTGTAAAGCCTAATCGAGTCTTGAAAACAAGTTGTTAATGTTTATTATATTGTGTGAATTTATATACTGCGTATGTAGTCTTCGCAATCTTATTTTTCATAGATTCTAAATTATTACTCTAATATTAAATTTTAATATATGTCTTTCAACATATTATTAAGATCTAATAAGATGTTATAGGTATCAAAAATTTGTTAGATTGATTCTCAATTTAACTAAGTGATATTACTGCGGTAGTGAATATGTATGCGTCAATGCTGAAAATCTATCAGCGTCGCGGGGGGGGACTACATACGCAGTATATAAATTCACACAATATAATAAACATTAACAACTTGTTTTCAAGACTCGATTAGGCTTTACACGTTCTACTGATTTGTAACAAAGTATAATATTGGAAAAGTCTATTCGGTTTGTGTTTATACAAATCTGTTAAATATATTTTAAAATATAATTATTTTGCATATGTTGAAATTAATTTTTGTTATTACACAATATATGGTGCCATTTTAAATAATCGCACGATATAGTATAAATTATTATGTATATAATCTACATTGTATGTAAAGAATATAAAAGTACTTTTATATACATTATTGATACTAAAACAATGTAAATATATAAGTAATTTTAGTATATGAATAAAAGAATATGCAATTTATTACCGAAACAATTTTCTTTTTTCGATATTTTTATTATCGAACCTAATCTTTACACATAATAATTATTTTTCATTGCTATTGATATTTAAATTGCCAATAAAATTATAAGAAGGTATACATATAATAACGCGCAAGATAAAAAATTTTGATTACTCATCATTATCATTTCAAATTTGAAACTTCTCAGCAAACAAAAACAGATTGAAATAGATTCAGATTTTCAGAAATACGGATTCATGATTGTTAAAATAATTTTTCTCAATTCTGAATGCATTTTCATTCATTTATAGGAATTGTATGGAGCATATCTGTATGCCTTTCAATCCAAAAATAAATATCAGCTTTTTCCGTGTATCGTGAATACTATTCAATTTAAAATTTTGAATAGGAAACGCAGTGTTTCAATCCAATTGCATGCAATTAAATCTAATTGAATCCAATTGAATAAAGAAAAATTGTCGTTTAAAATACGCATTCGAATAGACAAACTGTCCAATCCATTTTAATCCATTCTCGTTTGCTGGGTTAATGTCAAAAGTCTATTTGAGAAATCGATAAGATGTCAAGGGCTGAACAACCATAATTAATGATAAAAGTAAAGGTAGTAGATTTTACGTGTCTGTCAAATTTATTATTCGACGTCACATGTCATATTTTGAAAATTAGCTGATTTATTTATGTGATTATTTAATTAACTTGAGAAAGAAGGAAGTCTACAACCAATCAGAGTGTTGGGATTTGAAAAGCAGGTTAGGATAACTCATTTGTCATCAGCTGATCGGACGCGAGACACCTGCTTGTATTGACATGTTCGTTCAGACGCCGTTCATATCCAGTTGAGTCATTTTGTGATATATATTTTGTGATAGCTGTAACAATCGTGCCGATCATGGACTCATTGAAGGACGAATCGCAGACGGAGGCAGCTCTGATTGAAAACCTATCCACGGAGCACTCGAGATGCGAGTCACCGAAACGCGGCACCACGCTCTCCACCAGCACCAGCAGTTTCGAGGCACTAGACCCGCACGATCCAAACCTGAGTCGTCTGGCGAACACAATGTTCCAGAAGACGGGTGAATACCTGCAGGAAGAGCTTACCGCTACCCACGTAGACTATCGGCTGTTGGAGCGTCTGAATAAAGAGACCATCGCAAAATACACGGAACTGAAGATTATTTCGTCGAACGTAGTGCAGTCATTGGATTCGCTGAATGACAAGTATAAAAAGCTACAACCGATCCTGGATAATATCAATCAGATCGATGACAGCGTCAGTAAATTAGAACAAGCTGCATACAAGCTAGCGGCGTATTCCAAACGACTCGAAGCCAAGTTTAAGGATCTCGAAAAAGATACGAAAAACAAATAAAATTGTATAATTATGAATATGTAAATCATTGTATGTACCTTCGTGTAATTATTCTATAAATAATAGGACCATGTAATTATATATCTTAAGCAACAATTATGAATATGAATGATTGTATAAAAAAAATAAGTAAGAGAGCTAATAGAGAAGCATGTCTTTTGTACATTGTATTTATTAGTATAACGAGACCTCTTAAACACACGCTTATAAAACTTCTATAAAATTGTAGTTTACTATCCCTTTGTATATCATACAAAATCCGACTTTTATAATTATAACTTATTAATTAAAAATCATATATCTTATTCAATGCTCTATCAATCAAACCTAATCTTACTTCTGCAATATACATATTAATAAATTTCACAATGTGCCTATATAACGATGATACACTTGTATCATTTTTAATTTTGTCAATTGTAAATACAATCAATATATATAAATAAAAAACAACTAATTAAAGCTATTTTTAATAAAAGAGATATTTATACATATATATTTTCCATAATTAAATACAATGAAAAGTATTTGTCACCGATATATATGACAAATAGAATTAATAATTCAATATATAAAGTTGAATTTATTTCTAATCTTGTTAACAATAATTTACTGAAATATATAGTTCAAGTATGTAACAGATGATATATGTGTATGAATTGCTAGAAGATTGTAAGTAGTAATCCTTTATCGGTAATTATTTTAAGTGTTACACAATTGTCTTTACGATTATATGAATTATGAAACATAACACAAGTGTGGAATATTTAGGTATCGTAATTATAAAACTTTGACATTGCATTGTCTCGTCGCACTAAAATGTTCATGTCACAAGTATGAGAGTTCAAAGTGGTTATTATGCTCCAATACGGTTTTCCAAATATCACAATATATCATAAATTACCATAATAAAGAAAGCTGCATTATTCCTATAATTTAATTGCCGATAAAAGCTGAAACACTTCTATAGATGATGTTTAGCAGTCTAGGAAATTGCCGGCCATCAATAGTTCCAGAGCAATCTCAGGTGCAATAGGAAATTCTGGTATTTCTGTACTACTATTTGTGTAGCGTACTTTATAAGTGAAGTACATGCAGACCTTTTGTAATACGTGAGACCTATAAAAAAAAAACACTCATCAAATAATTATTATAATATATGTATTAAGCTTATTTTACGAGTTTATAATTAAAAAAAAAATGAAAAGTATTTCTTATACTTACGGAATTTCTCGGAAGTTAACTTCATTAGCTTCATTTTCTGCAAATTGACCAGGACCACTCAACATTGCTTTGATAGTACCACTCGTTAACGCGTGTTCTCGTTTAACAATAAACTCATGGCCATCGCTACTGACCAGTTTCACATACATTGCGTTTGGTCCTTCGCAGCCCCCATAAACGGGACTACCATTTTGCTAAAAAAAAAAAAATCCAAAACATCTATCATTATTTGTCTCACATTGACTTGGCAAAACTTTACATAAATCTAAAATATTGTACAATTGGAAGAAATGAAGTATAGTGGGATAAACAAAAAGAACCATCTCTAGAAAGCAAAATTTAATTTGGAAAAGTAGGTACCACATGCATGTCTTTAGATGATCTGCCATCTTCTTCTTCGGTCTTATTGACACTTGCTTCTTCATTGTGCTTAATCCAAAGAAAGATTAATTGTTAATCAATATTTTACCATAAGCGCTTTCAGCTTTCCAGAAAGGGAACGAGTAATTTTAACATATAACAGCAACACAACATGTATGTACATGATTATCGTACAGATATATTGTTATACATCCTGATTACCATGCAGAGGTACATCATGCAAACAAAATTGTTTCTATACGTACCTTCTCAGCCTGCATATTTACATCAGTAGACATGTTTCCTGTTGTTGTATAAATATCCTCCTAAAACAAAATAATTCAAATATACAATCTATCATATACAGGGCTGGCGAAGTAAATTTTTTCTATGTATGGTGTTTCAGTTGGAGGAGGATGGTGAGGGAGAGGGGTGACATTAATATTTTAGAGTTAGACTGTTCTTTAATGTATGTGTTTTTATTTTCATGTTTTATAAAGCAAATATTACTGCTCTTATTTTGTTTTTAGGTATCAAATCGTTCATTAGTAATTCTAAATCTAAAACTTTGACAATATCCTGGCTACATTACTTAAACGTTTTTGTAACATTGTCGCTCTAAGAAATTTTTTTAGCGCAGAAAACGACCTTTTGTTAGAACACGACAAACTCGAAATTGTTAATAGTATTTTAATTAATTTAGTGAAAATAATTATGTATTAATTAACTGTTAATTTAGTGTTTCTTCTTCTGACGAGGTATGTATGGAATTCTATAGTTTAGACATTTTTATATGTATAGAATGCTCCAGATCGATTCTACTGAAGTTGCTGACGCTGATCTTATATACACACATACACAAAATACAAATGACATAATAACAAAAAATTTGTAACTAATACGAATACGAAGTCTATAACAGTCTAGCTGGATTAGTTGCTTATATATAATTTCGCGTGAATTTATATACTGATATAGTTTTTCTAAATTGCGCGCCGAACAATTGTCGGTCGAAAAAATTATATATATTAAAAACTAAACAGTGATTAAACAGAAAAATATAAATCCATTGTTTACAAAATTTCAAAAATAACAAATTACTGTCGTTATCATAGATATAATTTAAAGCGTTGAACAAAACATTTATGTATATTGAAAAATAATCATAGGTTAAGCTACTGGAAAGTGGAAAGTAGCATTTGAAATACAAAAAAACAGTATTTTTGGGAACACCGTATCGTATATGTACGCGAAAGCCATTAAAAATTACTTAACACTTTCAAGCAAGGTTATATTTATCCGATGGAATAATTTGCTATATATTACTGCTAACTATGCTATGTCATTCTCGTAATATAGTAACACTGGATAGTTGATAAAAATAATTATAAATTATGCTCGTTATATTATTACGAAGTAGCGAGCGCCGCGAGCGATTCTACGTACCTTAGAGACGAGAATATGAAATTTTAATTAAATCAGACTTTCCTAATCGTAATGTAGTGTTGCAGAGGCAAACGTAATCAGCTGACGAGTCGTCAATGTCGATTACCAAATGACACTTGATATCGACGATGATACTGACAACTGACGACGATTGTCGAAACACGAGTGAACCTAGAAAGCGAATGTGAATGGTATGTGCTACGATTTACCGATTCGTATCACGCAAAATGCGTTTCGATATGTTTTGTTCACGTGACTCCAGATCGCGTTTCATTCGAGAGAGTACAAGAATAGTCGCAATCTCACAATGCATTAAATGCATTCTGTTATCCGAGACGTAAACCATACAGGTTAAATGAACATTTGGTATTTTTTTAATGATTCGTTGTGTCGTTTAACGATAATTGTGAAATAATTCAAACAATGTTTATTTTATGAATCGTTTCAGTCTAGGAACATTAATTTTTTTATTGTACAAATTTCATTAACTCCATCGAACTTTATACGATCCATCATTATCTCATCTTATACAGGTTGGATTATAATATATAACTTGGCTTTTATTATTAATTTACATAAATGGTCCATTTATATAATTTATTTTGTTCATATAAATATCTATAGATTAAGAAAAAAATTTGTTAATTATACTGACAAATCTAATTCTATTTTGTTTGTATTTATTTCTATATAATCTATAAATGAAATTAAAAAATTATTATCAATTTTTTTAATAATCAGAGTTTTTTGTAACTACTAAACTAGTTTATTTATATTATTTATTAAGTATTTCTCGTTTCTTTTTATGTATATTTTGTTTCTATGCATAATATAAATTTTTATCACATTTGTGAATATATTTTATTAAAGTATACCAAACTTGTATCCGCTTTTGAATAAAATTGATACAATTTTATTTGATGCAATAAATTATGTTGCTTATATTAATTTGATGAATGTCTTGTAAGTATTAATTCTTACATTGTTACTTATTTGACAACAAAGTATTAATAAAATATAATCAATTATGTGGTATAAAATTAAAAAATAAAATTAATAAGTAAAAGTAATTATTAAAACTTTTATTAATTTTCTAAACATGTTTTAGGAAGAAGATGTAGGAAGTTACAGCGATTAGTTGAATGGATCATCATGGCTGTTTTTAAATCAAGACAAACTACCTATTTATTAAAAATAATTGGATTAGCCAGATAACGCAAAGCCTCTTTAAATGATATAAAACATACAAATAATGTCCTTCAGAATACGTTTAGCTCGCAGCAGGCCAATTAGACTTTTAAGAAATGTGGCCATGAAGTGTTGGGCTTTTAGTGGAGCATATATTCTATTGTGCTTTTTTTTATATTGGTTATATGGCGGAATTTTGGCTTTTTTCTTACTGTGTTTTGCTACAACTGGTTCGTATATATATTTTTTACTACAAAAGATTTTATTTTCTATTAACAAGGTTATCATTGTTATAAATTTACAAATTTTTTATTAAGGTAAAGATATAAATTATAAAGACTGATTTTTCTTTATTATTACAGGAATACTCTATCACAGAGAAGATCAACTTCTTTATCATCCAGAACTGCCAACCCATTCGAGAGTCTATGTACCAGCTCCTTCAATATTTAGTTTACCTTATCAAAGTATATATACTAGAGCTCGAGATGGCACAATCCTACATATGTTTTTTGTTTCTCAACCAGAAGACAGAATGAGACAAGTACCTACATTATTGTTTCTTCATGGCAATGCTGGCAATATGGGTCATCGGTATGTTATTTTTTACTGTACATTATAAAAGACACTTAATATCTATACACATATTATTTCTAATTTATTTATAATTATTGTTATAGTATGTTCTATTGTTTGTTATAAAGTTCTATTATTTGTTACAAAAAATTAGATAATTATATAGCAATGATTAACTGCTAAACATTTTTACAAATTCCTCTAATAATATTGTAAATGGTTAAAAACACTTTATTAATTGTATCCATAAAATTTCAATATTGCTAAGAAAGAATAAAAGATAAATTATATATAAAATAAGTTACACTTATATAATAATAAATTATATCGTAACATTATCCATATATTTATATGTTTCAGATTGCAAAATATAGTAGGACTGTATCATAATATTCAATGTAATATTTTAATGTTAGAATATCGAGGATATGGCTTGTCGCAGGGTACTCCGTCGGAGGAAGGGCTTTATATGGATGCCCGAGCGGGGATAGATTATCTGTTTAGTAGAGCGGATATTAATACCAATGAAATTATAGTATTCGGTAGATCACTGGGTAAAGAATCTAATTTTATTATTTGGAATTTTTATTTATTTTTCAATATTTTTAAATCTTAGATTTTATTATATTAAGTTTTAAAATCTTGGTTAATCTTATTTAATTATCAGTATTTGTATGTAATAATTAAATTTGATTAAATTGTAATTTAATAGGTGGAGCTGTAGCTATTGATTTAGCCACAAAAGAGGAAAATTTACAGAGAATTTGGTGCCTTATACTTGAAAATACCTTCACTAGTATCCCAGATATGGCCGTCTTATTTGTAGGATCTAAATTTTTACAATATCTGCCACTTTTTGTATATAAAAACAAGGTAATAAATAGAAAAGATTTATAAATTTTAATTACTTTATGTGATTGTTCTGGTTCTCTCTTCAAGTTTAAAAAATTTACAAAATATACTGTTTTATATTAAAAAGTATGACACGTTTAACACAAATCTTTGTACATTTTTTATTCTCGAAATTTATGTATTAATTTATATTATATTTCGTAATTTCTCTACAATCTCAATAATCTCGTTTCTCTATTCTTATATTTATTTATATTTTCACATATTTTTTTTACATAATTCTCATTTTCCTATTTTTTATTGCAGTATTTGTCTATTCTAAAAGTTCGTTCAGTGATGATGCCCACTCTGTTTATTTCCGGTCTGGCGGATACATTGGTACCACCCCGCATGATGCAAGATCTTTATAAGAATTGTCGAAGCACATATAAGCGTATACTTCCAATTGTGGATGGTACGCATAATGAAACCTGGTGTCAGCCGAGTTATTATCAAAACATTAACGCCTTTCTGACCGAACTCAGGGAAAATCCACCTCCAAGGGTAACGTCTAGTCATTGGCAAATTGATAATATTTAATATTACAGTACTTCTATTATCAAATCTATTACTGTTTATTAATAATAAACACAATTTTTACTTTTTAAAGACATAAAAAAATCGACTTTATCGAATTGTACTTTTTCTACCTTTCGTAGAAACTGTCCTTAAGCGTTGCAGAAACAGGGAAGTTAACCTTATGATTCTTAAACGTGATTTTAACAATTAATCATACATCCAATCAAATCATAATTAAATCAAATAAGTATTTCAAGTTATAAGTCAATTGTTTAAATAATAGGGGAGAATGTCGGACCGTGTTCCAAATCCGGACCTTTTTAATTTAAATAAATACGGTTAAGTAGATTTGCGTGCTACTTATAATGTAAAGTCCTTCTAGGACACCGAACATGTGACAGCAGTTTGGCAGTACTCTGTTATGGCGTTTATAGAATAGACGCAAGTATGTATTTTCGGCTATCATGAGAAAATGTTTTCAAAAAAGAAAATCCTTGTAAATCATTATTTAAAGGATGTTAAAAATTTGAACGGTAATTGATTTAAGATAATCAAAGAGTATAGAATTCAAAAATATCAAGAGTTTTATGATTACTTTTGCGGTTTATTGTAAAATTTGTTCCAATCGTTCGAAAGAACCCGTGTCCAAACCAAATCTCTCTTTGGGTATCCAAATCGGAGCTATACGAAAAACGCTAAAAAGATGAGTAAGCCAGCTAATTCATCGAAGAAAGAAAGTTCGCCACAATTTGGTTGTAGTACTGGTAATCGACAGATCAGATCTGGTCTAAAGAACATTAAATCAATAAAATATCATGTATTATCAGACTCAGACTTGATGGAACTTTTTATTGATTTTAATTCTAATAATATAAACTGTATTTTTACCTTTAAGTCTTAAATTGCTCGTTTTTACTCAATACTAACAAAAATTAATTAAAATATTTTAAAATTCTATTTAAAAGTCCATAAAAATAGGAGAGGTTTGATTTGGAACCCATAATTTAAATAGATCCGATTTAGACCACTCTCCTCTATAATTAATTGCTTGAATTTAATTAGTTTAAAGCTTAAATTAATTTAGGATTTGATATAATGTCTTAACTTATTAATTTATTCAAGTTTTTTCTGATTATTTTATTTAAATTAAAATAATTAATTAGAAATAACACGTGAATAGAGAAAAAGAGAATTACTCATTAATGGAGAACACAATTATAATAAATGTTTCAAGAATTCTCTATAATATGACAACATGTGAATTAAAAATCTTTAAAATTTCGGAAAGCAAAAATTCTTAAAACCTACAATTTAAATATATATATATATATATATATATATATATATATATATATATATATATATATATTATTACTGACCGTTCCTGTTACAATAAGTATATGTAGAACTATATATAGTATTATAGAAAAAATTGGAAAATTATTATAATATAAATTATGACAGCTAATTTATGCAATTTTTGCAAGAATTACATAAATTGTATATTATATAAGTTGTACTAAGAATATAAAATAAAAAATGTCTTTTCTATTTTTTTCAATAATAGTTTTCATGTTTTTATAAGAATAAAAAGTTTTAATGTCTACGGTTGATTCGTCTTCTTTTTGCATTTATTTTTCGAATCAATAGCATGCCGATTATCATTAGAATTCCAAGTAGAGCAGTCAATGTGATCAGAGCAGTAATCATTCCAGAACTAGGTTTGAATGTTACAATCTGTTTACTAGAAATACTTGCAGTATTAACGATCATTCTTTCTGCAAAATGTGAAAACTCGTCGCAAAAGACTTCTCCCTTCCATTTGTACCAATGAATCATCCTTTTGTTGGCTAATTCAGGTGGCTTAGCACATCTAAGTAATAACAAAATGTGAAGAGTAAGATACATTGATGAATATTATTTAATTTATTTATGAATCTCATATGAGTTTTGTAATAAAAAATAAAAATAGATAAGAATAATTTTAAGATATAAAAATATTAGAGGTGTGTGATTTAATTTTAAGGTATTTTTCTAAAAAAAAAATTATTTAAACAAGATAATGAACGAATACTTTAATCAAGATATTTTTTATGTTACGAATAAATAGTAAATTAAATTAATTGTTATAACTTAATAATATTAATTTATATCGGAAAAAAATTAATTGTCATTAAAATCCTTAATATATGTATATTTAAAATAGGTCCTTCAAAATATTCAATAATATGAAATTACCTCAAATCTTCTAGAAGACTAGGATCTGTTATATAAAGTTTTGGGATTAGTTCGTTCAACATCCATTGCAATGAGCAATTACAAATAAATGGATTTCCTTGCAGATTAATGAGATATTTTAAATTTGAAACATTTTTGTTGTAAACATTTATATTAAATAGTTTTGATGACAAGTGAGTAAAGCGATTATTGCTCAAATCCAGCTGAAAAGTAAAAAGAATCGTGTAATAAACATTTTTTAAAAGAAATTTTTTTATATAAAACACTAACAGAGCAAATGTTCATATGTTGAAAAACGTTTTCCTCAATCATATTCAACTTTTTATTACTTGAAATAGTCATATTGATACAATCATTTTTCTTCTCCTTTAACATTAGAAATGTTTCTTTGCCAATTTTTTCATACGTTTCCATAAATTTTATCTCAAATATTTCCAAATTTAATTTAGACCGAATTTTTATATCTTTCAAATCATTTCCATTGATTTTCAAAATTCTCAAACTTGGAAAATTTTTATTAGAAATAGTTTCAGGTATTATCGTTAAATCATTGAAGGATACATCTAACGTCTCTAAACTTTTCAAAAAAACTTCTGGAAAGTCTGATAAGAAATTTCTACTGATATTTAAAATCTTTAATTCCTCCAATGATGTTAAATTGTTACATATGTTAGAAATATTATTGTTTTGAATATTTAAGATATGAATTGATGATTTTTGAAATAATACAGTATTGATAAGATTGTTTTCCGTGTAAAGTTCTGACAATGACAACGGAAGATTTTGGAAATTTAGGGAGAGAAGCTGATTATTGTTAACGCGAAGAATCTTCAGATGTTGCATATAAAGTAAAGAATTGACTGGAAGAGTAGTCAATTTATTGAAGGAGAGATTTAAATATTCCAACTCCGGCATAACATCGAGGAAATTCTGTAAAATATTTAAGTAAATAAATTTAATAAGAGTAATGTTGATATTTTTTGCAATAACTATATATAATTATAATTATATTATTCTATTACAGCATTACTAATAAAGAATTTCGCAAGTTTTATATGGAAAAATAACCCCGGCTAAATTGGTCCGTTTTTAGACATATATGTATATGTTGCATTTCTTGTGATTCTGCAAACAAATGTCTTATCCATTGTCGCACATTTACATAAAATCAACAGATACAAAGATATAACTTTGTTATATCTTGTCTTTTTATCTGCTGATTTTATGTAATAAATGTACAACAATGAAGACATTTGTTCAGAATCATAAGATTTAATACAACATATATATTTCAGAACAAACCAATTTGTCCGGGGTTATTTTTTCATATAAAATATGCGGGATTTCTTTCGCTAAAATTTTTTTACTGTTAGAATTAAGTTTTATTGTTAAAATTACTATATATTACCAAATCAACAAGATTGTTGTGGGATACATCAAAGACTTTTAACTTTGTTGTTGCATTTTTTAAACTTATTTCTATGTTATTCATATGATTATAACTCAAATTAATTTTAGAAAGGGAAGAAGATGTACTTAAGACAGAAATATCGAAGCTCAAAAGTAAATTGCTAGAATAATCTAAATCTTCGAGCTCGTTTAGATTTTTAAAGATGTCTGAATGTATATTATCGAATTTATTTTGAGACAAATCCAATCTTTTTAAATGTTTCAGGTGTTTTAGTTCATTTAGAGGTAAAAGCATTATATCGTTCTTTGAAAGAATAAGTTTGTTTAATGGTTGATGCTTATCCAAAGTTAAAAGATCGAAGTTAAGAACTTCATTGGTTTCCAAGTGCCTGTCATAGCAATCAATAATTAGTCCTGCATCTGTAAAAATATGTAATATAATATTGATATTTATGATTTATGTTACTAGAGTACATCTCGTATTACAAATCATATATTGTGATATTATTTACAATAATAATGATAATGACAAGAATGTTACCATGTATATTTAATTTACTGATTTATTATCGTTCATTAATTTATTAAATCTTGTAAATTTTTGAAATATAATACACATAACTTTTATATATATAATTAGTAATTACACAATAACAAAAATATATCATGTATTTATTATTTATTTATTAACCGATTACTTTTATTATTTTCTCCACGGCGATAAATATCTTATCTTTTTTATTCTTTTCAACTTACTTGAAGTAAAACATATGCAGATTTTACATATATCGCACAAACATTGGTTGCACAGAAATAAAAGTAACAGTATAATAATATTCAACATTATGAGATATCTGTACTGTGATTTTACACAGGCTATCACTAAATATTATACATTTAATTATATACCTAGTAGGTACACGCCTACTATAGCAGATTCCGATAGCATATCTGATAAGTGCGTCAACCATGTGAGTAATATGTGTATGTGATTACATACTATATAGTATACTCATCTTGCGAAAAGTACAGGTGCGATATCATTTAATATATTTAAATAGTGTGAAATCTCACGGATTCTCCAAATTAAAAAATAAACAATATAATTCTTCAAAGGTGAATGAGAGTACAGCGATGTTGTTGGGTCGCAATAAACAAAAATAATAGCCGGATCCTTATAAATTCCTTTTATTCAACTGATGAAAGTAAAAATCATTTAATTAGTTATGGATGTAACTTACAGTTTCTTGCCATTATATAGAAACAACTTTTAACTTTTTATATATTTTAATCCGTGAACATAAGAAATGACAAACTCGGATGTTTTGTATGAAAAATCGAGACAATAAATGTAGATAAATATAAAATAGCTTTTTATGTATAATCAAAATAATAATAACAAATAGTCATATTCAATAATTATAATATTAATCACACACACGTATACAAATTAAAAATATTTCCATTATTAAATATATATCATGTCTCGATATATACTTTCAGTATTAAAAATCTGTAATATACGTGAACTATAGATTTTACTGTAGTATTGGCAATATAGTGGTACAAGACCATAATAGTACGTCTAATAAATATCTTTTTATTCTGAAACAGCATAAAGTTGAAGATCGTTCTATTTTGATGAAGATCTTTTGTTCCACATTTCGTGAACTTCTTTATTATCTCGTAGTTTGAACAAAATGTGTTTGATTTAGTTTTGACAAAGTATATCCTCATCTTTAATTGCATTCCGGTATCCATCACCAGTAGAACAATTCATTTATCTGTGTAGGCCTATGAGAATATCATTATTTGATTGTATTATATATTTAATTTAAAATAGATACATTTTTTAATATTCTTTGACTCTTATATGCTCTTTATAATATATTGTTGTATTTTGATTATTAAGAGTCCTGTATTATCTTATCTATTTTTTATTTATCTATAAAAAATGATCATCATTTTATTATTGTTTCAATAATAAGATAAAAGAGAAATTTAAAAAAATTAAGTAATAATAATAGAAAAATGTTATAATTTGTCTATAAAACTAATGAAGAATTTGGTAGATACCAGAAAATGAACAATTTAATATAACATACAAGCAATCTCTTATAATAAGAATTATAAATTTATAAGTTTATTGTTTACAGAGATGATATACATTACTTAAAAAGACAAATGAATATGTGTCCAACTTAGACAATTTTAAAACAATTCTAACATTTCTTAAAGAAATTGGTAAGCGTGGATTGCTTCTTTTTCACATTTCCCATTTTAGTTTCTGTTTTCTTCTGCTCTTTTCTCTTCATCTCTTCTTTTTTTTCTTCCTCATCTTCAGAACAACTTACATAAACATGTTCCTTCTTTGTTACAATGTATTCACCTTCTTTATAAGTTCTATTAATTAACTTCAACACTTTTCTTTTACCATTTTCGTGTTTTACTTTTGGTGGAGAAGGACTCTTATCTTTCATAGGAGTTTCTGGTTCTATTTCAGGAACCGACTCCTCCATCTCTACATCACTTTGTATCTCTGAATCACTAGAATCATCTTGCACAACAATTCTCTTCCGTTTCTTAGCAACTTCATTTGTTTCCTTGCTTCTATTCCGTTTTTTTCCATGTGAATTCTTCTTTTCTTTAATTACTTTTCCTTCGGTAACTTCTTTTTTGGCATTATTATTTTTCTTTTCCGATGATATTACCTCTGTAGATTTTGAAGGAGAGAGCCGCTTCCCAAAAAAATTATCTAATTTTCCCTTTTTAGAATTATTTTGTGGGGATACTTTTTTAGTAGTAGAATTGACCACAGAATTTTTATTTTTCTCAGTTAAATTTTGAATTTTTTCTACAGAATCTTTATCTTTCTGGACACAATTTTTATCATTTTCAGTATCTTTTTTCTTTTTCATTGAGTCTTTATCACTTTCTTGGAAAGATGATTTTAATTTTTCAGAACTTTTTGATTTTTCAGCCATATTAAATAAATTATTAAATCCATTCTTCTTTGTTGTTATTGGATTCTTTTCTGTCTTTAGTGGATTTGTTAAATTTGTAGACTTTAAATTTGTCACATTTTCCGTTGTAACTTTTGTAGTAATTGTACCCCAACGTAATAGTTGCATTTCTTCATCTGTTCGCTCTTTGCAAGCATCACATTTTATAGCGCTGTAATTTATATCGCCTGAACCAGAAGTAGCAAGTAGTTCCAGATCTGCAATTGGCTTGTGAACACTGTATACATGCTCCGAGATAATTTTACTGAATTTTTCTTTAGCCTCAGATAAATTGGATCCTTTAACAACTTCTACACGCATTCCCCTCTGTTTTTCCTTTAGATGACCTATCAATAAATATGTGCATTCTATGTTGTTATTTTGATATTTTTGATGAAAGTCCAACAAAATTTGTTTGGCTATATTAACATGGACATGCAGTTCTTTGCTTAGCCATTTGTAGGTGACCTAAAATTATACATTATTGCATTATATATAATGCACACACAGAATAATAAATAAATTATTTATACACCAAACATAATGAAGAATGTCATATATGAATAATTGCGATAGAATTACCAGCTTGTCATTATCAAAAACATAACCAGCCAAAGTCTCTAAAGATTTATTCAACGTTTCCGTGTTCATTTTCCAACAATTTGTGTTCCAAATAGTTCATAACAATACGAAGTTTTTTTTTATTAGCCTCACACTTCGAGTAAACACTTATTGAAAATTATTTTAAAAGGCGGTAAATCAGAAACTTTCGATTGTATGCAGCCATTCCAAGCCATTCTTTTAATGGTTAAGTTAGGTCGCCGCTATCAATTTGAGTATGATTGGTTAATTATATCACGTGATCCCAATGCCATCTTTATTACCTTTTTGAAAACAAATTCCAAAATTGTCCAGAATTTGTTTACTAATTGTATAATTCATTATTTCATTTAGCGATACATTTTTATTTTATTAAATATTTTAATCTGTATTTCAACATTTAAAGAGAAAGAAGATTTATAAAAGAAAGGGAAAGCACTGAATATTGATTTCACAAAGTTGGATTAAATATATGTAGGTTCGTATAAGAACGCTTTTGCTTTTAAAAAAATTACATATATAATCAGAAATAAGGGAACAATTTTTTTATTTATAACTTTAATAATTAGTTACATTATTTACTTATACTATACATGTGACATTCATGTCCACAGGGCATAAACAAGTGAAAATTATGATGTTGCACGCATATTTAACATTTTTCTTTTTAGCACGTACTTTCTGGTTTATTTTTCTTTGTTATGTTTTTCCTAACTTGTTCCAACACCGATGTATCCTTAAAAATGAAATATACATGAAACACTTTATACGCAAAACATAATTGTAATTAGTGATATACAGGATGTCTCAGAATAAAACTGCCAACTATTTCGTGTGCGGATAGAGCGGACTAAACTAAGTCAAAAAGTCTTCTACCATTTTACAATTTTCGCAATAGTTATCAAAATATTAATTACCAAAAATCGCCGAATATTGGTTTCCAATAATTTTTTACTCAAATATTATCAATATTACACAAAAATAGTAAAAAAACAAAAATAGTTTATTTTCTTCTTATGGATCTCTAAAAGTTTTTTCAAAAATTTTGTATTAACTTTTTAGTATTGCATTTTCCTATTGGCAACTATTTTTATCAATATGAGAAAATTTTGTACTAAAAAATTCTGAAAAAATTCTCAGAATTCTATAAGAAGAAAATAAAGATTTTTTATTACTCGTTTTTCTGTACTCGTTTTTATTACGCTGTTTTTCTGTAAAATAAATGTTGATAATACTTGAGTAAAAAAAATTATTGAAAATCAATATTCGGTAATTTTTGGTAATTAATATGTTGTTAACTATTGTAAGAATTGCAAAATGGTACAAGACTTTTTAACACAATTTAGTCCGCTCTATCAGCACATGAAATATTTAGCGATCATTATTTTGTGTGTGTGTTTATATATATATATATATATGTGCGTGCGTGTGTGTGTGAGTGCAATATTTAAATGATTTATATTAGCATATGTAATTGAGCATCGCATTTTTCCACTTACTATAGCTGTAATAAGAAATGAGCAATCGTTTGTATGCGTATATTGAACGGTACAAGTACCATCGCTATTATTATCTTTTGTCATCATCCTGTTAAAATTGTCATTATTTGTTGATTCTGTTAAATGAACAGGCACATTCCAGATTTTGCTCGCTCCTTTGACAAGATTCACATTTTCTCGATAAAAATTATAATCACACACATTGTTAACCAGAATATTCACTGTGCAAATACAAATTTTTATTAAAATTTATCCTACATATTTAAATTATTTAATTAGCACATCAACTTGGCTAATTATCGACAATATTTACCTTCTGGATTTGATTTCTTGCTCACGTTTGCCATGCAGCTTCTGATCGCATTTGTTACATCCATAAGTTCATGCATCCTTTCCTCCAATCTGATATCTCTCAGATGCTTAAACTAAAATTAAAGAAGTGAGGAATAGAAAAAAATAAAGTATTCAACATGTATAATAGTGTTTAGAAAAAAAGAATGAGAAAAAAATTATAGCAATAAGATTGATAACATAAAGACTATTTTTTTCATTTACTTCATATGGCATGGGATAGGAAGTCTCAAGCAATGAGGCAACTGACAGAAATCCTGGTAGTCCCTTCTTAGCAAGTTTTGCGTACAAATCGTCCGACAAGTAGGGTGTCACAGGTGCGAGAATGCGTAATGATACTTCCAAGCATTTCGAAAGAGTATTGGAATGTCCAGCCGAATTACCGCTTCTGAACCCAAATTTTGTACCTTCCTGTATTTAAAGGAAAACATTTAATTAAAATAATGAATTATTTTTAATAGATAATTTAAGTAAATTAAGATTAATAAGATTGTGTGTGTGATTATTATATAATTTATATAATAATATATATAATTAATTGATCTTATAATTAAAATCTGAAAATTCTTTCTTAACATTCTTACAAAATTCAGAAAATTTATAAAAATTTTAAATTATTGTTATTATAACATATTCAATAATATTAAAATTCATGCAGCATATATTTATAACATACCACGTAGAAATCGCAAAATTCATAATACAGAAATTGGCGAATTGCGGTTATCGCTTCATGGAAATTTCGTTCTGTAAACGCATCATTTACAGTTTCTACCATCCATGATAATCGACTGAGAATCCATCGATCTAAATCATTCAGACTTTCCTTTTCTTCATTTTCGTATTGTTGTTGATCCTCCTTTGTCATTAATAATACGTATTTGCTTGCCTGCCAGATCTTATTGCAAAAATATTTGCTTGTCCGACAATCATCCACATCAAAACTAATAGTATGATCTATAAAAGAAAAGTATCTATATAAGGAAAAGAGATGAAATTCTCTTTTTCTTGAGATTTTTGATTCACTTACTCTTAATATTGCGTGCACATAATGATAGTCTCAAAGCATCGGCACCGCAATCTGGTATTCCCATGGAATACGTTTTTGTATTAACACGCAGCGTTCGCTTCAATTCTTCAGCACTAAGAATACCTGCCGCGTGACTACGTCTTGCTTGCTCGTTCAATTCCTACATTATAATTGTGTGTCTAAGATCAATTATTAAATAATAGAATTACAACACACATCAATAAAAAAAAAAAAGCAATTTCAGTTCGTTGATATATAATTTTTATTACAGAGATTATAAGTATTTCTTATATATTATATAATATACAATATACTGAAATAAATATATAATTGATGCAAATTTCGAAAAATACTCACTTCAAAGGTACAACCGTTGATAATGTTGTCTGGCGAAATGACATTGCCAGAGCTCTTTGACATTTTCTTGCCATTGCCATCACACAAGACGCCATGAAGTAAAACTTCCTATACACATATATAATTTATAATTACCAATTTAAGCATACTATAAAAAGAGATTGCTCCTTTTAATATTATTTTATAGTAGCACACTTCAATGTAAAGAGATCGGATTAATTACAAAAAAATATACATATATTTTTTCTACAAGAATTGTATTAAGATTTTGATAAAATACTGATAAAGAGCAGATATAAATAATTTATTATATATATATATATATATATATATGTGTGTGTAATCATACTTTAAATGGCAAACGCTGCGTCAGTTCCAGACTTAGCATCACCATTCTCGCCACCCAAAACATGAGAATATCATGGCCTGTTTCCATCAGCGTTAGCGGATAATATCTTGCCATATCCTCCGTCTATACATTTTTGCGATATACAAAACAATATTTACAAAATTATATATAATAAAATGTGTATATAGAGAAGAATATTAAAGATTAACTTTTCCCGGCCAGCCAAGTGTAGCAAACGGTATAATTGTCGAAGAAAACCATGTGTCGAGGACATCTGGGTCCTGACGTAAATCCACTGTGTTTCCATATTTCTCTTGTATACGAGAACGCGCTTCTTCTTCAGATCGAGCAATTATCCACGAAGTGGTACTATTGCTATCAGAGAATACATCATCATCGTTATCTTTACCGTCACCATGAATTATGTAATATGCCGGAATACGATGACCCCACCATAACTGTCTCGAAACACACCAGTCCCTAAAATAAATACGCTTTTTAAAAAATAATTTATTGCATTTTTTTTGTTTAATTATTTTTATTCATTCCTTTATTTATTCATCTATTTAATAGTGTTTATCCATTTGTTCAATATTTAAACATAATAATTTTACCTAGCATTTTCGAGCCAATTGTACCACATTTGTTCGTAAATGCCGTCTTTACTTGGATGGATTTTCAGTTCACCATTTGCTACGGCTTCGTGTGCCCGCTTGGCCATTGTCGTACAGCGCAAGAACCACTGTTCCTTTGGCAAATACTCAATTACATCATGTGTGCGCGAACATAGTGGTATTGTCATCCGATGATTATCTTCCACACCTTTCACCAAACCTCGTACAGACAGTTGGTCTATTAATCTTTTCCGTGTGATGAATCTCGGCACTCCCTACAATAATTTATTATTTATTATTAATAATAAAAAATGAGTAAATCTTATGTACGGAATCATACCTTAAATTCCTTGCACACATCTGTCATATTGCCACCTTCATCAATAACATTAATAACTGGCAAGTCATGTCTTTTGGCAATGTTATAATCTAAACGATCGTGAGCCGGTGTAATTTTCATAGCACCTTTAAAACAAATAGTAAAATTAATATTTAATAATCAATTAAAAAAACAAATAAATAAAATATAATAAGCCAATAAAAGTAAAAAATAAATATATAATACATAAATATAAAATTAATTATAAAATAGACAAAATATATATATTTAAAAAACAATTTTTGAAAATGTACTTTATTTTTATTTTTCTGTATTTAATGTATATAAATTTATATATTCTAATTTATTAGAGTTTAATTGTTATAAATTTTTACCAGTGCCAAATTCTCTCTTGACCGAATAATCAGCTATGATGGGTATAAAAGTCTCTCTTGTTGGATGTAAAACGTACTGCCCAATATATCGCGAATACCTATCGTCGTTTGGATGTACAGCAATCGCTACATCTCCAAAAATTGTTTCAGGTCTAGTCGTTGCAACTATTAATTCTTCATCTGTGAAATAAAAGAAATAAAATTTACACAAGTCTGCTAAAAAGCTAAAATTGGAAAAAGCAGATTTAAAAAAAAAACCTTTATTTTTGTCTCTATAAGTACAAATATATTTTATATTTACTTGAATCTTTGATTGGATAAGCCAACTTGATCAACTGGCCGACAGTGATCTTGCTATTGTAACCTGGTAATTGAAGCCGCGTCTTGCCATTCACAATAAAATCCTCGACTTCGATATCTGAGATTGTGCTGCGTAGCGCTGGTGACCAATTCACAAGATCTCTGGCTCTGTATAACAGATTTCTCTCATTTAGTCGTACAAACGTTTCCGTCACTGCTGCGCTGTGATTCTAGAGAGCACAAATAAAAATTCAATAATATTATAACAAGTATAGAACAAATACAGAGTGTTTCAATAACTGTTATTGGGACACCCTGTATAATTGTAATAATAGATATTAATATATAAATAGCAACATAAAAGTATTACTTTATCAATGGTAAAGTATTCTCTGTCCCAATCAAGTGAAGCACCGAGAGCTTTTAACTGCTGTTTGATAACTGCAGCCTTATCTGCCTTCCATTGCCAGATCAATTGTGTAAACTCAGCACGGTCCATGTCATATCGTGTAATGTTGCGTGTATTTTGCAAAGTACGTTCCACTATTGCCTGTGTTGCAATTCCTGCATGGTCCAGACCTGGTATCCACAATACTGGATGACCCTTCATTCTGTGCCTGTGTGTACGTGTGTGAGCAGTAGAGAAAAATCTATAATATAATGGTAAATTTACCTATAGTAATTAAATATAGCGCAATAAAAACTGCATTTAATATGCTAATAATATCAAATAGTTCCAATATGTATGTAAATGTGAATTTTTATTACATTCCTTTTTATATAATAAATATCTATTATTCAAACATCTATTATACAAGGTGTCTGGAAAATCGAGATCAATACATCGGGAAGTAATTCGGGAGCCAAAAAGGAGGAAGAAAAGCTATGTAATAAGTCCAGAAATAAGTCATTTTCGAGTTATAACTACTTTTACGTTAAAAAATTGAAATTTATTTTTCATAATAACAATCATAATTTATTTCACAGTGTTTCAACATAAATGATTACATGTTTTATTTTAAAATTTTTTTTAACTTTTTATTTTTTAATTTTCTGGTATTTATAAATATAGTTACTGCATTATTTTTAGATAAACATAAACAGGTTAAATATAATGAAATTTAACAGATTAAATAAAATGTTCAAAATAACCACCTTCAGCATGAATGAAGGCCCTTATTCTTCTATTCTTCAAAGAAATTCCGAACACTTTGAAGAACAGTTGGATCCCTCCTTATTTTTTCAAATCCATGGATTATTCTTTGTCTTAACCTGTTTATGTTTATTTAAAAATAATGCAATAACCATATTTATCTACAAATTACATATTAAAAATTAAAAAGTAAAAAAATTTTAATAAAACATGTAGTTATTTATGTTGAAACATTGTAAAATAAATTATAATTGTAATTATAAAAAATAAATTTTAATTTGTTTAACATAAGTGATTATAACTCAGAAAAGACTTATTTCTTACGTTTATATAGCTTTCTTCCTCCTGTTTAACTCCCAAATCACTTCCTGAAGTATTGACCTCGATTTTCCAGATATCATGTGTGTGTGTGTATACACTATTTACTATATTCCATGTAATAACAAATTTGGTAATAAAAATTTTAATTATAAAGTAAATATATTATTATATTATAGATACTCTAAACTGTTATGTATAAATTGTGTGTATATATATATATATATATATATATATGTATATATCTCATATTGTTATCCATATATATTATTATGCATGTATATATGCGCTATTATATTATTATATTCTATTATTTAGTGTACTCTTGCTAACCATCTTGCTAGAATATCTTGGATTGTAACAGTAAGTGCATGACCTAGATGTAATATTCCTGTAATATTAGGTGGTGGTAAGACCATACTAAAGCATTCTTTGGTTTTATCTTCTTCTTGAGTACTATTGCTTGTCCTCCTTGTCCTGGATAAAGCAAAGTATTTATTACATTGCCAGGTATCATACCAGCCTTTTTCCACATTTTTCGACTTAAAAGTTGCAGGAAAATCTATAATGTAAATTTTAGAATAATACCGTAAGAAGCATATTTCATATCTCTTTTGTTCTTATTAATTTTCAATTAATAATTTTTAGTTAATTTAACTGCTCGTAGACTGTGGATGCCTTCCAACAAGCGACACAGATGATATGGTGTGACACAGTGTATCATGACATCCTTGTTCGCCAATATTAAACAAAGATGAGATGATCACTGTATTATACCGTGTCACTTATTGGAAGGCAAATTGTAATATATACGAATCTATGTAAGAAAAATATAAGATAATGCAAAAATACCTGCTAGTCTTTTATGATTGCATAATTCAGTTGCAGTTGCAGTAGAAGTGCAATAACGTAACCTTCGACAGCAAAAATTTACGTACAGAAAGGGATGATCGAACAATGTATGTTTCATTATTATTAGTTAAACTCTATTTATAGGAATTCAAATGCAATTATAGAAAACACGAATGCTGTATTTTTTTATTTAGTCGATTAGCTATTATGCATAAAATAGAATTTTGCTTTTCGTGTAATATGTTTCTTCACAATCTCTAATCCTACGCGAGAGAATCTAGTATAATTTAACCTCAAATCTTGTATCTGTAATGATAAAGATGTAAGGGACCTCCTATTACCGACTCCCGTTCGTTCTAGTTCTATTATATCCTCATCGAGGCGCTGTTACTATTCGTCGTTTAAAGTCACGTGAGAGTTCTTAGCTGAGTACTCAAGGTCTTGAAAAAAATTAAAAAATGTACGTCAGTAATACATGTTTAATAATCACATATAGTACATTATTGATATATTTCATGTTTTTTGACTTTTTAAAAATATACATTTACTAATTTTACATAATTAGTCAAAAGGAAAAAATAAAATATAGAAATCATACATAAAGTGAGACTAATATATGATAACAGAAACGAGAGATATCTTAATGTGTAAATAAGCTCTCTTAAAAGATACAAAAAATAACAAAACTAAATGTTATCTATGTAAATTAAAGACAGTGTACAAAAATAAACTTTTTATATATTCATATTATAGATTGTCTTGTACGCGTGCATGTGTCCCTAATTATTATTATATGTAAACATAAAATACTCTCTTCAAATATTAATAGATCGTTTCTACTTAATGAATATTCTTTTATATCCTGGGACAATGTCTCTAAATCAGAATTCTGTTTTCATTTACATTCGTTGTATAATTAATTAATTGTTAATAATTCATATAGAATGAGATAAGTAAAAAAATAATGCGCAGGAACGTTTTCCTGTGTTTTGAGATAAGAGATTGATGAAAAATTCCAAATTAGAAAGATTATATTGTAATCTCCCAATGTAGTTGACGACGCAACAATGTCTCTTTCTCCACATGTTGCTCCGAATAAAGATGAGTGCGTAGCTGCAATAGGCCAACCGTTTTCATTTCACATAATTTACAAAAAGCAGCCACGTTTCCTACTACACTTGCATCTCTGATAAAAAAAGAGAGAAAATATATAAGATATAATTCTAAAAAAATTATATAAAAATACAAATATCTACGTACTCATAGGCAAGACTTTGTAATTGTGATAGATTCTCCAGCATTTCTTCCATTTGTTCATTTGTTTCACGTAATTCTAACGCCTCATGTAATGGATATATATTGCCTTTTCTCACATTTTCTCGAACAGATGGCATAAAATGTAGTCCGTTATAGCGATTCCACTTATCGCTAAGATCATCAACCTCGCCATCTTCTGGATTTCGTAACCGTCTTTGTTTCTCTCTTAGTTCAAGCAAAATGCGTTTGATTTTGTTTTGATAAAGTATGATATCCTCATCATTGGAATCATTTAGTTGCATTGCAGTATTCATCCAATGGCGTAATTTATTTATCTGTGAAAATTTATTATCAATATTATCATTTTGCTATTGTAACTGAAAATATAATAACTGAAAAAGGTCATAATTATAATCTGTCTATAAAATTAATGAAAAATATGAGATATCAATAGTTGAAAATGAACAATCTAACAATTATACAGGCAATTACACAATAAATATTGTGAATTATCAGATTATTGTTTATAGAAATGATATACCTCTTTTACATCATCTATCGTGATTTCTACGTCAAATTGAATTTCTATATCATGATCAGGAAATATAGACCGATCAGTGAATTTATCTTTCGGACCCAAACCACATAAAGCCCCTGTATAATAAGTCCTGCGAGAATTACATCTCAATTCCATACGCGGTGCAAAACTCAGTATGAGCAGTGCCGCGAGTCCAGGAATATTTGGCAAGAAAGTTGTATTTCTCAGTGTTAGACAATTTTTATTCGACTGAGTGGTGCTCTGGGCAACTAAAAGACGTCTTGATTGATTAAGATCATCATCCAAAAGGACAGAATTGACGGATTTCATATCTACATTTATTTTTTTCAATCTTCCACCTGACGTCAACTGCACCAATTCCATTTCTAAGGGAGAAATTGGACCTTGGAGTTTTATGCAGAAGTGACAATCTTCTTCTTTAGGTGGTGTAGGGTACTAGTATCATTGATTAAAATTAATTGTTTATCCATGTGATGTTAATTTATATCAATAGAGTTACTATAATTAAATTTTTATATAAAATTCAACTAATCTACTTACTTCCATTAATTCATGTTTGTCATATTGTTCCTCTTCGTAAAACTGTTTCTCTTCTACCGACATTGCAATAATGTTACTAATGTTTGCTCTTAATTCATGATTATGCTGTGACATACAGTTTTCCTCTCTCTTTATAGCATATCCTTTTTCAATTAAAGCTTCATTAATATTTAATTCTTCCTCTTTCTTATTAACAACGATCAATTCTAAATTAATAACGCTATCAACGATCGAATAAATTTTTCCATATGTCTTATTATTCTTCTTAATTTGTGTCATAAAATAATTTTTTGATCTTTCTGACCATTGACCATGATAATTGTGTTGATTCGAAGGTCGCAAAAAAGCCAAATTGCAACGAAATGCTAAGGGTGGAATTGCTAAAATTGTAGTATTATTAATTTCTCTTAGATCACTAAATCGTATTCTCGAGGAAAGCCCATAATCGATAAAGAAAACATCGATCAATTCTCCGATTTCTGAAATATATTCCTTGATTATGGCACGATGGTAAGCCAAAGAACCGTTTTTTTCTATAGGAGCAGCAATTATGGTTGAGATTTTTCGGATAGAGAGAAATTTTTTTAAGGGGCGTTTATTAAGAATTTCTTTTATAACTCGTAATTCATTACGAGTAACATCATCATCAACAGTTGCCCAGAAAGATCCAGGGCTAATAATCTAAAAAAAAAAACCCATATGATTTAAAAGAAATATAAACAAAAAAAGATTTTTAATATATTAATAATTAGACAATCAATCCATTATAATAATTATAGTAAACAGTAAGTATGTAATGATTTAATATATATTATTATAAATATATCTTTATATATAATATATGAATATCACTCTCTTTTTATTAATTTATAAAAAAAAATCTTACAGTTTGTATAAGCAGAGGTGTAAATGTTACATCAAGACCTGGCAAATTTGGTCTGATTTTAGGAACATTATTCTCTACCTTCTTCAAATTTTTGTTAAAAAAAACACTCCGCTCAAATTTATAGAAATTATAACATCTCGCCCTTTCATTTGCCTCTTTTAAGCTCAATAATTTTATTTCGATTGGAACATTGCACTGTCTCATCATGATAGCCTGATAAATAAATATGTTACTAATATAGTATTACGTTTATAATATAGTATTACATTATCTTGTTTTATAATTAATATTTCAAAATATTTACATTATATTTTCTTTATAATTATTGTATATATTCTTCGTGTGAGTGTGTAAAATTTAGATATCATTAGATATCATAGATATCATTCCATTAATATATTTGCTTTCACAAACACATACGCAAAACACGCGCACATATAAATTTTCGTTCACGTTATTTATATAATGCAAATAATAAATTAATAATTACCTGATAAACAAACTCTGATATATTTTGAAGACTATCGTCAACAATTTCCTTGTTGTGAAAATGCACATAAACACGTTGTCCATCAAAAGATACTTCTATTTGCTTTTCTAGAATCCCTTGATGTTTGGCAAAAATCTTCTGCAATCTTTTGGCATACAAGTATCCAGGCTGTTTTATTGGCCAACCTCTTAAATAAACTGTTTTCATAGGATCCAAAGAACCCAAGGTCATTGTAATATTTTCTTTATAAATTTCTCGATTTTGTAAACGTTTGATAAAATAATTAGGATAAAAAGCTCCAACAATAGCAACTTGAAGCACGAAATCACGATCTGCATCTAGAAATAAATGGTAAAGTATAATTAAAAATAATTTTGAAAGTAAAAAAATAAGTAAAAAATCAAATAATTTAATAAATCATTAAACAAAATTAAATATTAAATAATTAAAAATGTACCTGACCAGATGACTTTATTTACTCCTATACTCTCTTTAATTCCGAACTTCAGTAATCTTATGGTGATTTCATTTACCAGAGCATCTAATTCACGCAAAGCTTTTATCTGGAATCCATTTCTCTGAGCCCATTGTTTCTCCATTTGATAAGAATTTAATCGACGATTCGCTTTTTCATTTTGCCACATTTTGTAAACATTTAATGTAGCAATAGAGTCACTATTAGAACCATAGGCCCATTTTTTTCGAGTCGTATAAGAAGAAACACTGGGATGGCATTGCTCCAAAGAGAAGATATCCTTAACAGCCATGCTGGCACCCAGAATAATAGCGTCTCTCAACACTCCGAAAATATGGCCCAACATAATCAATTTCGAAATTCGAATGTCGAGTGGAAGAATCGCCATTATTCTACCAAGATCGGTTAAATTTCCATCAAACATTTGAAAAGAATCGCCTTCGTCTACTAAGGCCCCGATTTCTTTTAAGCTCAAAATTGTATTTGCCAAATTAGACAAAGTAGGTGGATCAAGGGAATGTGAAAGAAGAATACGTGGCTCATCGATATCAAGGATTTTGGCTCGGAGGACGACATTAGCGAGCGGAGCGCGAAGTATTTCTGGTATACTGTATTCATCCAAACAATTCTGTAAATTTTATGAGAAAACGATTAATAAGTATTACACGCAAAAAAAATGTAATAATACATGGACTCTGAAAAATTATACACGCGTATTTATATATTACTTATGTAGATCTTTAAAAAAAGTACTATATAATAAAACGTAATAAAATTATAATAAAATCCTTTATATTATTTATTAAATATTAAACAATGATAAAAGGGGCAAAATAAGAGTCAAGTTCAAATAAATAATGAACTAGTTACGACCATAAACATGTAATTAATTAGGCTTTAACAAATATGTGAATATAGAATACTTAAGAAATATTCTTCTTATATTTGAACTCGTATTATTTATTTAAATTTGACTATTATTTTGCCCCTTTAATCATAGTTTAATTATTTTTACATAAAGAGTCCTTTATAGTTTTATTTGTCTTCTATTGAAAGTTAGAACATAGCTATTGCTTGTCCTCTTTCCCTGCGGACTTTAGTACCAAGCAGTTGTAATGGTTGTAAGGCCTTGTAATAGCGATATATCTATTCAGTTAAGTTCTAGAATTTGGCTATTTTCAAAAATAAATAACTCGTAAACTAATGCGGATAATGCAAAATGGTAAAGGACTTTTTGATTTAGTTTAGTTTATACATACAAGAGTGCTTTGCCAAAAATTGTGGAACATCCTGCACAATGTTACTTACGTAAAATGCTTTTGGTACTAATCTATACACTCTGCCATCCATTACACGTCCCGTGCGACCAGCTCGTTGTATACAATTTGTTTTACTCGCCCAACATAGTTGCAAATTTTGATAATGAGTCTCGGGATCAAATGCCAATAGTTTTACAAGGCAAAAATCTATCACTGTAAATTATATATATAAATTAATTATTTCTTTTCGTTTTATCAATAATTAATAACTATAAAATAATAATGTTCATTCGTATTAGTTTATTATTTATTTATCTTAAATTATTTTAATTTTAATATTTATATATATATAATCTCTCTCTCTCTCTCCCTCCCTCCCTTTCTTTCTCCTTCCAATTAAACGGTTTTATTAAGAATTATAATAACAAATTCATAAAAATATATAGTTTTACCATATTTTACATCTGGCACGGTAATACTGCTTTCAGCAATATTTGTAGAAAGTATGATGCGTCTGTAACCTTCCGGTGGCTTTTCAAAAACACGATGCTGTTCGTGATCATCAGAAACCAATGAATGCAAAATTGTTAGATCCCATAATTTATTTTTATGATAAGTTGACGACAAGTAATTATATAATTCCTCAATTTCATAAATTCCTGGTAAAAATACAAGAACGGTATGTCTCTGAGGTAAATTTGAATTTCGTTCGTTATCATTTATATCAATTTGATCTAGAGCGTTGATAATAAGTGAACAAAAATGGAGCATCTCTGCAGTGACCTTTGGTTCCATGGCAGATACTTCTGGTATCTATATATATAAAATACAATTTTATTATATAATTATACGTTATGTATTTTTATTATATTATATAAAAATTTATGTGAGATTTATAATATTAATATAATTTTAAGTTAACACTAAAATAATATATTGTTCAATACATAAAGATCATAAATTGTATTTTTTATAATCTGTACTCACGATTCCTAGATTTTTTATCTCATCCAAATAATATGTACACACTTCAAAATTTTTCTTCTCAGGAATCTTGATAATTGGTGCCGGGATCAATTCATTTTCTACTATTGTAGAAAAATATTTCGCAAATTTTATTACATTAATTGTTGCTGACATGAGAATAACCTTGACTTGTCCAGAATTTGCTTGCAACAATCGTTTAACAACTAGTAGAAGAAAATCCAAATTTTGATCACGTTCGTGAATTTCATCTAATATAATGTGAGTATAATCCAACATGTGTTTATTGTAAATCAAATGTTGAAGGAGAATGTCAGTGGTGCAGTAAGTTAAACGGGTTTCATTTGAGATTTCCTTTTGCATACCCACCTGGTAGCCTACAAGGCTACCAAGACGCCAATTTCCTTCTTGACTCACTCTTTTGGCGATACTTATAGCAGCAATTCGTCTTGGTTGAGTCACTATATTAACATAATTTTGTAATTTTTAAAATAATTTTTGTATACTAGGTTGTTCGAAAAGTTTATTTTTATTTTTTAGCTCAAAATTGTATTATATCTTCATAAAAAAATTAATAAAATTTGAATTTAAAAAAGGATTTTAAAGTTTGAAGTCTCTACTTTCAAAAGGTTACTATTTTTTGAATTTATGAGAGTTTGCACTAATTTTTACATATAAAAACTATGAGCTAAAAACGATAAAAAAATTTTCTTTTTACTTTATGAGTCTTTCACATTCCTAATAAAAATTTTCGAAAATGTTTGACTACCTATAAAAGGTTGAAGCTTTCTCTACAAAATTGTGTTTTAAAAATATTACTACAATTTTATGTTCTTGAGTTATTTGTGAGTTAAGCAAAGGAACATTTTGATTTTAATTATTTAACTTTGTTAAAAATCATCGTACAACTAAAAAACCAGATTCTTAAAGTTAAAACTGTGCTCCATTGAATGGTATAATCATTAATTTTTTAAATGTACAATATATTATTTTAAAATCAATAAAATATAATCTTCTTACAGACTCTCTTCTTTAAAAAAACGAATGTAAAGTATTCCTAAGAACAGGCAAATGGGAGTCAACTATTTACCTAAATAAACGGATTATAACTCAATACCAACCGAGTTGACTCCCATTTGCCTGTTCTTAGGAACACTTTACATTCATATTATTTTAAATTAAAGAAAATTTGAAATAAACTTTTCATACAACCTATAATACATATTGTATATGCTATAATTATTTATTATAATATATTGATTGTATAAAAAGTAAAAATTGATAAAAAATAAACCTATAATATTGCAATTAAGTCTCTTCTTAATATTAACATCGAGAATAAATTGTGGAATCTGAGTGGTCTTTCCACAGCCAGTTGGTCCTTGAATAATGACTACTGAATTTGTCTCAATTATTGAGAGTATCTTATCCTTTATGGATAGAATAGATAGATCATTAGATTTTGGGTTGTAAGTAAAACTGCATTCTCGATAGACTTTAGCTAGATCTTCTACATAAAGATTTTGCAGATTATCTTCTAATTCTTCTGTTGTATTTGCAGTAGATTTCTTTCTATTTTTATCTGTCCTGTCCATGTACTAAAATGAAAATATATGATATACATATAAGATATATACATAACAAATAACAATTCTTGTATTTTTTCAGGATAAACATCTTTTTGAATACCTTAATTTATATTTATATACACATATATATGAATAAAATATATATAATTTTAAATACAAATTGGCTATACAAAATTATCTATGTGATAAATAATCTTTTTACCCTGAAGTAATCTTCAGCTTCTACTTCTGTGTAATCTTTCACATAAGTTTCTTCCATGGATTGAATAAATGTCAAATTATTGTCCTTCTCAATTGAGGAATCCATAGTTTCAAAAGTTGATTTTATACAGAGTTAATAATAATCAACAATTTGATAATATCTATCTGCAAACAATCAATATCGTTTAACAATTGAGTCCCATAAGGTGTATTTTTTTTGTCGCGTATCGCGTAACCAATCAGTAATCAGTGAAACGCGAAATCACAACACAGTAACTTCTGATTGGTTAAGCAGTTACGCGATACGCGGCAAATACGCCTCGTGGGATTCCAATTTTGTGTATTAAATTACCTGTGCAGAATTATAATATTGCTCAAAGAGAGAGTCGTTATTCTTTATTCGATAAGCAAATGTTCTCTTTTCTCTCTCTCGCTGAATTTCATTGATTAATTATTTAACTAAGAGAATAAGGCTTGATAAAACTTGCATTCAACATTCAATAAAAGTTTACCTAGGCTACAAAAAGTCAAAAAACACTAACTACTACCTCTCTGCTACTACCAAGGAAAAACTAAGAGGAACTTGGAGAAACTGAGATGATGGCCTTTTTCCTGTAGCCACAAAATGCCTCCGCACACTATCGCCCTCTGAAGAAGTGGATTGAAGTGGATATCTACTACTCGCTGTCTCGCTTGCTCTCGTGGTACGTAGTTCCCGCAGTTCGAAAATGGACGTTGGTGCCGCTAGTGTAAAGCATTAGTTACAGGAAAAAGGCCGCCATGGCCGCTCTCAGGTTTCTCTTTGTAATCTGTAACGAACAGACAACTGCAGACAATACGGCAATACGGCATACGCACAGAGCTATCTGGTGATAAACATTAATCTATCAAATCTAATGAAATTTAACTTACTCAAAATTCTTGAGATATCTTAAGATATTTACAGTTTGCCGGGGTGAATTGGTTGTGACATACCATCTTTATTAATAATTATTATTCTAATTTAGAAAAATTTATTCATATTCTTTTAGTATCAGGATAAACACAATTGAAAAAGAATGACTGCTTTTGAAGGTATGACATTTTTAACAAATTACTTATATAGTAAGCTTTAGCTTGTAGAAAATGTCAGTTTAGTTCTGTCAGTTTGTATAACAATTGTTACATATTATTTTGAATCAAAAGCATATATCAATTTCTTTTATGTTTTTAGAAATGGGTGTTTTGCCAGAAATAGGAAAAGCAGTTGACGAAATGGAATGGACGTAAGTAAAGATGGTCTATTTCAAAATGTAACTTTATAATTTAAAATATTATGTATGAGAGAAAAAAAGGAAATTTTTTTAGAGTTTTAAAAAAATATAAATTACAGACTACCAACAGATGTTCAAGCTGAAGCGATCCCATTGATTTTGGGTGGTGGTGATGTACTCATGGCTGCAGAAACTGGTAGTGGAAAAACTGGTGCTTTCTGTTTGCCTATTTTGCAAATAGTTTGGGAGACCCTTAAAGATTTGGAATCTGGGAAAGGAGCTACTGGAGCTGTATTTCAACAACGTGTGTGTTAAATTTTGACACAAGAGGAAAGTGTAAAGTTATAAAGTTTGTTAAAAAAATAATAGAAATATTTTAATATTTTATAGCGACACATTGGGGTCTGAGTCTATTTGATAGAGGACGAGCTATGGCTGTCACGACGGATGGTTTAAGATGTCAGAGTAGAGAACAAAAAGAATGGCATGGTTGCCGTGCAAATAAAGGAGTATCAGGAAGTAACAAGTATTTTTTTGAAGCAACAGTTACTGATGAAGGTTTATGCCGAGTAGGCTGGTCTACATCTCAGGTAAATATTTTTATAAATGACACAATTATTTCAAATTATCATATGAGAAAGATTCATTAAGAATGTTCTTGAAATAGGCTGCCTTAGATTTAGGAACAGATAAATTCGGTTATGGATTTGGTGGTACAGGAAAGAAATCAAATGCGAAACAATTTGATAACTATGGAGAGGCCTTTGGAATGCACGATGTGATTGGATGTTATCTTGATTTAGTAAAGGGTGAAATAAAATTTACCAAGAATGGTATAGATTTGGGTGTCGCGTTTACATTAAATACACAGCAAAAATCACAGACTTACTATCCAGCTGTTGTATTGAAAAACTCAGAGATGGCCTTCAATTTTGGAGCACAACCATTTAAGCATTCGCCTCCAAATGACTGTGTAGCTGTATCTTTGGCTCCAAAAGAATTTGTTAAGTACAATACTGTTAATAGTAATCAGAGTTCGTCTAACGAAAGTGGTAAACCAAAAAATAATGCACCTCAAGCGATCATCATAGAGCCTTCTCGCGAATTAGCTGAACAAACTTACAATCAAATCCAGAAGGTGAATGAGAATTTTGTATAAACTATCTGTTATCGAGACTGTATACGTGATATTAATAAAGTAATATTTTCAGTTTAAGACACATTTAAAGGATCCGACGATCAGAGAGTTACTTGTCATTGGTGGAGTAAGCGTAAAAGAGCAGATAGCTGTTCTGAATTCTGGCGTGGATATGGTAGTTGGGACTCCTGGACGTTTGGAGGATCTCATACAAGGCGGTTATTTGTTGTTAACACATTGCAGGTAATTTATCATTTGATTGCAAAGAAATGACATTGAATCAAAATAAATTAATTATCGAGGTAAATTAACATTTCAAGGTTCTTTGTGCTGGATGAAGCTGACGGACTCCTAAAACAGGGTTACACCGAACTTATCGATCGTCTGCACAAACAAATCCCGAAAATTACGTCAGACGGCAAAAGATTGCAGATGATTGTGTGTTCGGCAACATTACATGCATTTGAAGTTAAAAAGATGGCCGTAAGTGCAATAATGTAGCTATATTATATATATGCAACATAAATTATATTTTATATATATATATATATATATATGTATATGTGGGTAAATCAATAAGTATCAGAGTTTGAAGACAGGCGACATTGCTGATGCAAGTTGGCATTACCATTATGTATGTACTATCATCTTTCAAATGACGCCATACAAAATTTCAGAGTGATTCATGTGATAGTTTTGATTTGACAGCAATTCGTAATGAGGGTGTTTGGCATTTATCAATATAATGGAAAACGAGCAATATTGATCCGTGATTTACTTTTTATTTTTGTATGGAAAAACGTGCGAAAAAATAAAAACGAATTTGGATGCTATCTATGGGAAACCCTTCACCATTTGTGACAACCGTCAGATTTGCAGAATGTTCAACGAATTCAAACGTAGTCGTTCATTTGTTTTTGATGAGAAGCACCTAGGCAGACGTGGTTACTGAGGAAGTCATTGAAAAGATTCATGACATGATTCTCACCGCCGAACGAAGGTACATGAAATAGCAGAGGCCGTGTTGTACGAAATGGCATTCAATATTTTGCATAACTTGAGAATGAAAAAGCTCTCGGGCCCAATAGGTGCCGCAATTGCGGTGGACAAGCGGATGCTCTCAATTTCGAAACAGTGTTTGGAGCTGTTTAAGCGCAATTCGCAGGAATTTTTACGTTGAGTCGTAATTGTTGATGACATGGATTCATCACACCGGAGACCAAGGAGCAGCCAAAACAGTGGATCAGCAAACGTGCTCCGAAGGAAGCCAAGACGGTCCCATTGGCCGGAAAGGTGATGGCTACTGTTTTTTTGGAATGCGCAAGGCGTGATCTTGATCGACTATTTAGAGAAAGGAAAAATTATCATGGATCAGTGTTATGTTGATTTATTGGACCGATTCGATGAATAGGAGGAAAAACAGCTCTCATTTAACGCGAAAAAGAGTGTTGTTCCACAAAGTGCACTGGTTCACTTTTCCGCAATCACCACAGCCAAATTAGTCGAATTACGCTATGAGTAACTGCTGCATCCATCGTGTTCTCTGGATTTGATTTCCAGCGATTTCTTCCTGTTTTTAAACTTGGAAAAAAATGGCTCAGTGAAAAGAGATTCACGTTGAATGAGGAGGTCGAAACACAGGCCTATTTTGTAAAGTTCATATTTTTCGGAGGGGTTAAAAAATCGCAGCGAAAAAGTGTATCCTCTTATAAGATTACGTAGAAAAAAAATATTTTGTGAAAAAACTTGCGCCTTCATTACTAACACGGGTTTAACTTATTGATTTGCCCTTGTAAATAAGCAAATATATAACGTACATTCAAATTTTGATTTTTGGATAGGAACGTTTGATGCATTTCCCAACTTGGGTAGATTTAAAGGGCGAAGATGCGGTGCCTGAGACCGTACATCATGTTGTAGTGATGGTAGATCCTCAGAAGGACAAATTGTGGCGTAATTTGAGGAATTGCATACAAACTGACGGAGTGCATGCAAAAGATGAGATGAATCAAACAAATGATATTGCATGTTAGACACTTGTCGTAATCGTTAAATAACAATTCTATTCTCGCTCGATAAAAATAACAGAGTAATGTATTAATAATTATGTTAATTTTATATAGGTTCGTTGTCAGAGGGTGTAAAGATACTGAAGGGAGAGTATTGCATTCGTGCCATCAAAGAACATAAAATGGATCGGGCATTGATATTCTGCAGAACAAAACTTGATTGCGATAATCTCGAAAGATACTTGAAAAAATCTGGTGGACATCAGTTTTCGTGCGTGTGTCTCCACGGAGACAGAAAGCCCGGAGAGCGTAAGGCTAATTTGGAGAAGTTTAAACGCAAAGAAGTAAAATTTTTGATCTGCACCGACGTGGCTGCTAGAGGACTGGACATCAGTGGTTTGCCTTTCAGTAAGTAGTTTTTTTAGAAAAAGTTATTCCGAAACAAAAACACATTATATTATTTATGGATTATGTTTTTTTTTTTTTAGTGATAAATGTAACGCTGCCTGACGAGAAGTCTAATTATGTGCATCGAATTGGAAGAGTTGGTAGAGCTGAGAGAATGGGTCTGGCTATTTCTTTGGTCAGTAGCGTTCCAGAGAAGGTATGGTATCATGGCGAATGGTGTTCTTCTCGTGGAAGAAACTGTAGCAATACTAATCTGACCAATAAAGGTGGCTGTTGCACATGGTACAATGAACCTCAAGTAAGTATAGTCTACTTTCGATTCGAAATAAGACAATTGTATATAAAACTTGATTAATATGAATGAACATTGATACTTCCGCAGTACTTGGCAGATATTGAGGATCACTTGAATGTGACGATTCAACAAGTTGGTCCAGACGTAAAAGTGCCAATGAACGAGTTTGATGGGAAAGTTACGTATGGCGAAAAGAAAATGGCGATGGGTATGTAATATTATTTCTCATTATGTTACAACAAACGATTATTAAACGTCTGTATATGTCACAGGTTCT